AAACGACTGAACACGTGAACAGCAGGCTTCATCACTCTTCCTCACCATCAGGGGTCTAGAGGGGGACAAAGCGTTTTGCCAGGAACAAAGGGCACAGTTTTTAGAACCTGCAGTTTCAAGAAGGCTGCATGATATGACCTCACTTTAAAGTAAATTTGCTTCTGATTCTGCACACATATCTTTGAAAGAAGTCCCACATCCCCTAAGTGCGAGCTTTAGCCTCATGTTTTCAAAAGAGAAAAACTTTAGTTAGAGACTGGTATGAGCAAGGGGTGTCTTTGTGTACGAGCACTTCTTGTTTTCATTCCGTGATCAAATATATTCTTTGCAGCACAACTAGAAAGCTCTCGAAGGTGGCCAGTGGAGGTGCCTAAGAGCCTTATTGAGCACACTAAGGGCTTCTTGGCATGGAAGAGTTTTTCACGGTTATGAATAAACCGTTAGCCCTGGTATTATTTCTTGCTGTTTCTTTCTTTAACTATCTTTGAAGTCAAATGAAAACAGTTGTAATGGCAGGCTTACTTTTATGATACCATAATCTCCATGTGTTAGTGAAAGGAATATACTTCCCTAGGATTTCCCTAAGTTCTTTTGCCATTGGGTACTTTCCAGCAAAAGCACATACATTTCCAACAGATTCTTTCTTCAATCTTCACTAGATTTCTTAGTCTGAGAAGCCAGGCAGAGCCATCAACCAGTAGAGGAGGGGTAATCGTATATAGAACATTTCCAGGAGGTGAATTTCTAAATATATACATAATTTAAAAACATACATATATATATATATATATACACACACACACATATATATATGGGTTTATTTTTTTAAGTTATTATGAGCTTTTTAAAGGGGATTTTTAAAAGATACTTTGGAAATTGGTAGTCAGAAAGCAGAAATGAATTATCTAGCCTCAGATTAAATTTAAATTCAAAGTGCTTAACTCTGAATACGGAAATTCCTCAATTCATCCAATAGTTTGTTTTGTTTAAATGCCACTTTGGATTTAGTTTAACTATCTCCTTCAATATAATCAATCAGCTGCAAGCGAATTACCTTTTCCCCTAAAGTTGGTGGTGCACAGGAATTTGAGATTGTTTTAACTGTTACAGTTGTAGTGGAATTCGTTCTTCCAAGAAAACTGAAGGTTAATGATTTTTGTCATATTGAGACTAAGGCTTAACAATTGCTACAGTTGGCCTTTGTTGAGGTGGGCTTCTTTTTTCTCTGGGCCTTTTGAGGTATTCAGAATAGGTGACAATAGATTGCAGTTGAGAACATATGTAGAGAGACCCCTGTGGCTTATTGGAAAAAGTTGCTCCATGCTGGTTGGGTGTTTGGAAAAAAAAATACAACCAGAGTTCTTTTATGTTCTGCTAGTTAATGAATGCATGAATGTCAAAATGGGCCAATGGCCCATTCAGGGGGCAAAGCCTCAGCAGCCCCCTTCTTTAAGAACACATCCTGAGATGCAAAATACATTTGCTTAACAAATTAAAATAATGAGATAATTCAATTAGCTTCTTTTTAAAAAAAAGAAAGAAAAAAGGGTACATCGGGGATTATTGTAATACAAGAACAGGTCATACTGCACAAAAGCGAACAAACCAGTTTGAAATAATGTTAAAGAGACTAAGAATGGAGGAATGCACACTGAATCATGCACTTGTGAAGAAATTTACATGAAATAATAATTTAGACTACATCTATTTTCAGTGAGCTAGAGCCAACATTTCACTTTGAAAGTTGAAATTAATTAAGTGACAGAAAAATATAGTGGGCATCTCTATTTCCAAGGACTTCCTCATGCCTGTTAGTGCACGTAAGAAAAGTCTAAATTAACGTGTCGCTAGTTAGGGGTCTCTATTCTTGGTTTCTGAGCTCAGAATTATAGCTGAGTAAATCTTTCAGCTCATTAACGATTGGAAAGTAAAAGTTTTACAGGACCATCCTCATCAAAGTGACTGAACCTCTTCCCTGCAGTTGGGGTGAAATCTGGATGAAGAGGGAAAAAAAAATTTTTTTTTTTCAAAGAGAAAGCCAGCCGAGGAGAATTTCCTCATGATACAAGGGAGGGGCAGAAAGGGCAAGGGAGGGGAGCAGAGGGAAAGACTGGGAGACAAAGCCAGTGGGAGAAAGTAATGAAAGGGGCATGATGTGAAAGAAGGTCATGGGGAGGAGAAAAATAAAGCACTTAGCGAAGAGTAAAAAGGAAAGGGGGACAGGGAGGCAAGGATGACCAGAGGCTGGGACAGAACGGGGCTCTGGCTACGTGCTCTTGAGGCAAACCCAGCGCTACGGGTGCAGGAAAGGACCCCGCAGTGTAGAGACCCTGCACTGTGTCCCTCTCGTTTGAAAAATGGGGCAACGGAAGAAGGTCCAGAGAACTTAATGGGCTTAACTGAGGTTCAGCCGGTACAGGGGCGTGCTGACCTCAAAAGGCCGGTTTCCCGACTGCCTGGCTGAGGCTCTTTGATTCTTCTCTCCCCACTCCAAGGACAGGCATTCATGAAAATTTTCAGCTGGCCATGCAATTCTGCACCAAGTCTCGAGTTCCTTTAACCAGATTGAAAGCACGCTCAGGGCAGAGACAAGGTGCTGTGGTTGGTTTGTAGCCCCCTGCACAGCAAAGCCACCAGGAGTGCCCAGCAATCCCTGGCCACCCACAATTTTTCACCAGTGGCCACAGTGCACGGTGGGTTCAGCCCAGGGCAGGGAGGTGGGAGATAAGGTACCGACGGGGCTCCGGACACTGACACTGGAGACTCAAGGCCCAGAATACGGCCGGTGAAGGAGAGAGTTGGCTTGAAGAGAAAGGTGCAAAGAAAGTCTTCTCTACTCAGAGAGACTGGGGGAGCAGGAAGCTTTAAAAGCAAATACAGAAAATGGCACTTGGCTTCTCCCTATCTCCCCCCTGTGACGACGAGTGTATTGGTGGTGGAGGCTGCGTGAGATTTATAGGCCACCGGGAAAGAGGATAAGGGCTTCAGCAAAGTCATCATAATGTGGTGGAAAAAGCACAGTGCTGGGGATAGGGAAGGTTGGGTCCTTGTCGCAGCTTGACCTTGAGTTAATCACTTCCCTTCCTGGGTCTCAGTTTCCTCCTTTGCAAACAGAGCAGCTGAATTCTCTCAGGTTCGGCTGTTCTGGGATGTTGACTTTGATTACTGAGGGACTGCGAATACATGGAGATGTTTGCTTGGAAAGCCACCGTGGAAATCTCTCTTCGGCCGAGAAGGGCTGAGCATGAAGGAAGACAGCGGGGGGGGGGGGGGGGGGAAGCCAAACAGGTGAGCTCGCAGGGAGCAAGCTGTGTGCCTGCCCTCCGTTCGCCCCTACCCTGCCTTTCTAACTTGCTACTCTAACCAAACCGACCTTCGGTTAAAAAAACGAGAGGCTCCTCCCCTCACACTCACTCGACTTCCAAATTAAAAACATTTTACAGGTTAGTAAATCTCCAGCTGAGGTGATGTAGCAAAGAACAGCTGTGAAGTAATTTTGATAATGATGAGAATAATAGCCACATGGCAAGGTTCAGGGCTTTGCTGTTGCAGCTTCAGTGCTCCTGAATAGATAAAAGTGATTAAATACTCCTGATTATCCCTGACCAATATGTAATGGATTTACAGCCCTTTCAATTAGTCAGTATTTGCTTAGGACTCATTATTTTGTCTTTGGTTAAGTAATCAGCCCAGAGACCGCATGTTCTGTCTAATTCCTCTGAGCCGAGTCAGTGCAGGGCCCTGACCTTTGAAATGGCCATAGCTGCAAGGCAAGAATAACCACTACACCAGGGCAGCCTCGTTGGTTCTCCCAGCTAATCCTGACACCACAGGCCAGATCGATACACCTTAGTTTGCTACTAATGTCCTTACATCAAAATGGCCGATTTAGGAATGTGAATTTATCACTCGGCCCTCCCCGCCACCACTGCACCCCTTGCCCTTTGGAGCTCCGCTGCGAGAGCAGAGTGGCAGCCACCACCATAAATAAAAGTGGAACCTTGTCCTGGACCCATGACACTGTAACTAATGTCATTCAGCATGGCAACACACAAGTTGGGTAATCAAAGAGGACCTTCAGCTTTCAGCGGGCTACTCTATTTTTAAGCATTAGCCTAAAGAGAATGGCCTGAAAACAATATCATAGCAAGCAACCGCCTCTGACACTTTTACCATTTTCCCAGAATTTCCAAACCAACAGTAAAATATGAGTGCCTGGTCCCTCTGTAAGAATATACTGTAAATTTTTTTTTTTTTTTTTTTTTTTTGGTCATGAGAGTCTTAGAGTCAACAGGATACACCGACACATAAAACCGAATGCAAACAGGAGGGTAAAGATCCACTATTACTTTAAAAATGTGGCAGAGTTGATCTTTTCCCAGAACTAAACAGAGTGAGCTTATAACAAAATGGACTTAAACAGCTAAAAAAGAGTCTTTAATCTCCACATTACAGACGAAGGTGCTACAGCACCTAGAACCCTTCTGTTTGTCACATAAACACGGGCCACGTTAGCACGCGGCTCCAGCAAGTACAATTGCACCTGATACCATGAGCTTGGACACGCATGAGGCAAGGCGCTGCTTTTCTTTCTTTTCTTTCCTTTTTTTTTGCCTCCTGGAGGAGATGGCTTTCATTAAGAGTGTAATCAGCAGCGTTTATGGATTCATGAGCCATTTCCCTTGGTTGCGGTGGCACTATCTGAAGTCGCTCTCACACCTTTTAGCATAAATAACAAATTTATTTACACATGCTGTGTAGGGCCCTAGACCATTTTGAATAATAAGGTCCATTCCTGGCCTATTAAAACAAAAATGTCCTCCTTCCTAGAGGGTGTTCTGTGGGTAGTGACAGTTGGCAAAACCTTAACTGCTCTGTTAGTCATCAGATTTCAAGAAAGGGAAAACAGGCACCTTATTTTTTTTAAAAATCTGCATCAACCTGTATAGTATGCTAGCAGCAGGCAAAACAACGAAACTTTCTCCTTCAGCTTGACTTACTGTGAGATGCTGGAAGAGCCATGCTCTCATGATATTTGTTGCTACTTTGGGGAAAATGCCTCTTTTCTTCTGGCGTTTTTTGTCCTTGTCCGGATCATCATCATCACCTGTGCCAGGCGAAGCTACACTGTTGTCTAAACCATCCCCTGGTAGGAAAAAAAAAATGAAAATACATTAGAGACGACACAGAAAGGGTGCCAACAACAATGTGCAGCTAATGATGAGCTCAGCTAAGCTTGTTGAAAGAAATCCATTAAGCGGGTATATTCTCTTTCATTAAAGTATAATTGGAGACACAAATATGTAAAAGACAAAATTAAACTAGGCCTCTTCAAATGTTAATTTTGTGTGTCTCACACTCGCCCATATCATTAATTCAATTATAATTGTGCGCTTGACACAGTGCAGTAGCTCTTTGTCAATTATGGAATCCAATGTGGGAAAACCGCTATCAGAAAACCCATTCGGTGAAAATGCATCCCCATGCCCATAGTGAACACATACTGTAGGGTAATCAAGTTAAATGTTCTGTAGTCTATATATTCTAGGCTGCCTGCATAGGTGACAGTAACTGTGTCACTGTTCATTGCACATAACACACTGCCTTTTCAGCCCCTCCTAGGACTGTCACCTCCTAAGCACGCGCATTCACACACTCCTCAGATGACCCTGCACTCAGCATTTGCATGACATGAAAACTTTTAGCTCTCTGCACCACTGATCATGATCATTATCATTAAAAAAAAAAAGGATATACATGAAGGTAGGGTGCTCACTTAATCAGAAGTTTCTATCAACATCTTCCTCTTCTGTGCTTTTCTCTGGCATTAATTGTGCATTAGCAAAAATCATTTACTTTTAACAGTCATAGTTATTTTTTCTTGCCCTCCAGCAAAAATGCCTTGAAAGCCTGCCTGGAGGGCATCTAAATTATGTATCTGAAAAACTCTTCTGGCAAGGCATTGCAGGACCCCTACTTTCTTAAAATTCATATGAGCACGTCTTCCTGTTTTTGGGAAGGCATCAATCAAGAGCAGCAATATATGCCATATCCCTACATTAATATTTGAACTAATAACTTTAAAAAAAGGAAAGAAACAAGATCCGACTTGTGGCATAATCAAATGCAAAATAAATGAAGAATACGGGGACAGCACTGGGGCTTTATAGATGGCTGTGTTTTCCTTGCACATCATTAGCCTGGAGCCACACGAAAGAGGAAAACAGAGAAGTGGAGAGTTTATGCTCCCTGCTGGTGTTTAAGAAGCTGGGGTCCTGGAAGGACATCTGGGAATTGCTCTGAGATGGGGGTTTTTGTAATTTAAGAATAGACATTCATTAGCAGTAAATGCCATAAATCCCATGCTAAGTAAAAACCTTGTCCAAGAAAGCCTAAAACAATAAACTCTGTGCTCAATGTAGCCTGAGCTAGATGCTCTGCAGCTTCCCGGGGAATGCTAGAGATCCACCAGCTCATTCCCAGACCTGTTCCTTCCTTTGGACTGGGCTACTCCACGACGGCCTGCCCACTGGGGCTCCTCACCTTCCAACTTTGGCGACGCTGTGGGCTTCCCTATACCTGTTCTCTTCCTTTCTCACCAAAAAACCCTCAACCTTCTTTGACCAGAGAAACAGAAAAGCCACAGCAAAGAGCTGGCAGATTAATTTTATTGACATTTCCATTTTCACTGCAATGTGATACCCTCCATCACATGGAAGAGATGACCCTCACTATTTACAGACTGACAGGCCACTTCATTACAACCACCCTGCCCCAAGGCAAAGCAGCTCCCTTCCATCTGCCCAAACACTAGAGCATGACCCCGAAGTTGCTGTTCTCTTTTTCTTTGCCGTCTGTTATGATAAAAAAAAAATAAAAAAAGAGTGAGTGAAACGGACCCCAAATAGTCAAAGAACTAATCAGAGTACAGGGAAACAAAAGGCATTTGACTTTTGAATACTGGATCTATGGGGGCTAGTCTTCATCTGTCTACCCTCCCTACGCACCCGTGGATACTAGGGGTCGCTTGCACAAGGAGACACACACACACTCACATACACAAGCTTGAGCAGGGACATGCATACACGCTTTCCACCATGCCAAGGAACCGCTGCAAGGCAAATTCTCACCCACACTAATGGCTTCTGACTGCTCCTTGGCAACCCTAGCATTTTAACCTGGGTGGATGTGCTCTCCAAAATACAGACACTGGAGCGATCTCATCAGCTGTTCATGTGACACAGATGGAGAGTGGCTATTAGGAGCCAGGCAGTGGGCCTTGGGGATCTGAGGTGCTGTTCTGTAGCCCGAGGCAATTTTGAAAAGCAGTACCCGGAGAGGAGGAAAAAAAAATCCACATGGCAAGTCCAAGTTTGAAGTCGGTCAGTCTGTCTGTCTACTCACTATGGATAAAGATATCTTTGTCTCTTAATGTAAAATCTATGTGGGCTATCTGGACGTACACTGCAGATAATGTATGTATGGAATGGCTCTTCCTTCAATGTCTTCCAAATATAAAAACACACACTGTAAACAATGCCTGTGTGTATATATTTCTTCTGAAGCACATATGGTTTCTGTGTATATGTTTAAGCTGAAATTGTCAGGATTTTGTTAAAATCTCGTTTAGCTCTTTTTGATAGATTTCTGAATATACTTATTTTAAAAGGTTAATTGCTTAATTGAAGGAAGTTCAACCAAAAGAAAAAAAAAAAGAAGGAGGCATTTGCATTTTTCACCCAATCAATGACCTTTAAAATGAGAGACAGCATTTCCACAGTGCATTTTCTCATGCTTAAAGGCAAAGAGGGCTGGTAACACCTTCAAACTATTTAGCTCAAGAAAAAAAAAAAAACATAACTAGATTGAGCATCCTTTGATGACTGACTTAAACTGGAGAAGGCAGGAGCATTACATGAATTTTAATTTTATGTAAGTGTTGTAAAATACTTGAATTTGGATCCAGTGTAACAGATAATTGTAAAGAAAAATGTGCCCATTTTTATAATAAGTAGATATTAGACATTAGAGTTTTAAATTAATATTAGTGTCTCTACCTCCTTAAAGCGAGGAGTTTTCCTCTCCACGTTAACACAATAAATGCCATTGTTTTTTTTCCTCCGATGGACTATGAACCAAGTCCAGCATGGAGGAATAACAACAACATAAAGAAAGATTTTGAAAGGAAACTGTGATCTGCAATCTAAAATAAAATTGTGCAGAGGATGCCAAAGTTAGTAACTCATCAAGCGGACATTGTTCTCTTGTTTTAAGGCTGTGTGCGTGTAAAACGATTGGCAATCCCTGACACCTGTGCCAAATGAGTTTCTGATGATGTGTGTGTGTGTGTGTGTGTGTGTATCAGCACAGATGCACGTGCCAAAGGAGGTATAGGAGATAATAGCGTACATCTCAGTATCTGAAGTTAAGATTCAAAAGTGTGGACTCCTGAGGCCAAGAGCTGTCTTTTGCTTCTCTTTTTATCCTGAGAGCACACTTCTGTGTCTGACCCAGAGCAGATACCTAGTGATTGTATGTTGGGGGAGGGAACAACTGAACTCATCCATGAGCTTATGCAAGGACCCTCCCCTCTTTCTGAGAATCCCAAACTGGGGCAGCCACACTCATTATAGTGCCTCAGGGGCCAGGTTGCCTGTGTGCACACAGTCACTTCGAAACATACCAGGAATGGTGCTTCTTTGAAGAACCCAGTGTCCATTAAGGCCTTTTTGGGGGGCCATTCCATCACCATTGCCATCTCTGATGAAAAACTAAAGAAAAAATAGTGGAATGCTTCTTCTAAAAGGTTACTAATCCCTTCTCGAAGGGTACAATCTAAATTTGGGACAAAGATACTCAAAAGAGCTGTGTATTACTGGAATGTACTGTGCGTGACCATGGGAAGAAATATTCAAGGCCTGTAGACAGACAACTTTTGACGTGTTTTGAATCATCAAGGGAGACTGTTAAAAACACAGGTCTCTAGGCCTTATCCCAGATTCATTGACTCAAAATATCCCAGGGCAGGGGCAAGGAATTTATATTTTTAACATGTTCCTTGGGTTTGCTTATGTAACCAGCCTAGCACTGGTTCTCAAACTGGCTTTTGGAAGCCACTGAAGTAGATGAGCCTCTAATTTGGAAAGAAGATGCAACTTCAGGCACGGGAAGGAAGCTCCAAGTCTATACTACTCCCATGCATGGGGTCAGTGGTCGCGGTGAGGAGCTATAATGTGGCCCAGGTTTTATTCACTTCAGAAGAGCCACAATGTTCTCCAATCACATGGACTGACCAGCAGAATGGAGCCTCGTCCTGATCTTCCGGTGATGAGGGATACAAAGGATGAAAGAAGCTCTGTAGACCACTGGCTCTCAAAATGCGGACCACCAGCCCTAGCACTGATGAAGAAACTGTGAGAAATGCAAATTCGTGTACCCTCCCAGACCGAGTGAATTTGAATCTCTGGGGGGGGCCTAATAATCTGAATGTGAGTAAGTGTTCTAAGTGATTCTAATGACCACTCACGTTCAAGAAGCAATGCTATAGAGCACATAGAAGATCCCCTTAACCTGCTACCCCTGGTGGTTACTGTCTGAAGGCCTTAATATAATCTCTGGGTCTTCCTCCTGTTTTAAGACTCTGAGGTATTGGGTTACCTGGGTGGCTCAGTCGGTTAAACGTCTGCCTTCAGCTCAGGTCATGATCTTGGAGATCCAGGATCAAGCCCTGAGTCAGGCTCCCCGCTCAGTGGGGAATCTGTTTCTCCCTCTGACCCTCTTCCTCCGTCTCGTGCTCTCTCTCTCTCTCTCTCTCTCAAATAAATAAATAAATAAAGTCTTTATTTTAAAAAGGGGCGGAGCACCTGGGTGGCTCAGTCCTTAAGCCTCTGCCTTCGACTCAGGTCATGATCCCAGGGTCCTGGGATCGAGCCCCGCATCAGGCTCCTTGCTCCGCGGGAAGCCTGCTTCTCCCTCTCCCACTCCCCCTGCTTGTGTTCCCTCTCTCGCTGTGTCTCTGTCAAATAAATAAATAAAATCTTTAAAATAAAAAAAAAGACTCTGTGGTATTTTAAGAGCATCTGTGGCTAGATTTACACCCATGCTCTGGAGGAAGTCACACATACTTTCCATAGCTGAGCATACCAT